AAAGCACTGCTAATTTTCCTTAAATGGACAGACTGTTCCATGCAGCTTTTTAAAGGGCCCGGGCCATCGGCTGTGTTGACCTTCACTTGTCAACATAACTACCTCCTTTATGCCAAATGTCATGACCTTAGGGGCCACAGCTCCTTGTTGGTATCCACTTGGCCAACTTTGCCTAGCATTTCAAAATTAGCAAAGCTACACCCTACAGACACTGTTGTCAATTAAAAACAAAAAGGGAGGCGTTATTATTGGCCAAAACATTGCATTTAAACGTTTCGCTCATGCGCTGTCTCATTCATAAGCATTTTTACTCCTTTCCTGCTGGCAATGAATACCATTACAAAACTAGCTAACGTTAGCTACATCTGAATTGTTGTTATTCATAATAATAACACAATTTTGTTCCTATATGAGGATTTGAACAGTAAACTTAGCACTTAAACTAACGTCGACGTTAGCAAGTCAGCTAGAAAAACGCTTGCTGCTGTTCTGGGGCCCGTGTAGACGTCTGCTTGTGCTATCGACTACCCTCACGCGTTCCGAAGCACATATAAACACATATAAACAGGTATGTGACCCTTGTACGAACCGTGACATCCTGCGCCAAGAAGCCAAATATACGTGACCTTACCGTTGCCGAAAAGCTTGTTTCGTCGCTTCTCCTTCTGACTGCTCTCGCTCAGTGTTTCTCCTGATATTCTACACTGGACGGTGGCTCGCTGCGCCCAACAGACTCGGAGCACTCCAGCAACAGCAGAAGAAACAGCGGCAAAGAAGACCTGGCCTAGGGAGGGTAGACCGAAGCGACTCTTTCGTTTGCATTCCATACAGGCAACGTGATGCAAAGCGGACCAATGAGCGTAAAGGGTGAGATTTGAACCCACCCTCTATTGTCAATTAACCCCTCCTCTCCTCTCTTTCCATTCACCTGTCAAGTGTCGGCCTCAGTCCTGATCTCCATGGTAACAAAGAGCTTTAATCTTTGCACTGTGCTCTGTTTGCAGTGCAGCTACGGGGCCACAGAGAAGCTTTAAAGATATGTCACACTTTGTTTGGCCCTCTTCAAAACGGAGGTCAACATCAGCGACCTCAAAACAGCACCCCTGGAGTCATTTGATTCAGGGTTTTGTTCCGGGCCACTTCTTTGCCTTGTAAGCTTAGCAGCTATTAAATTCTTTCACATACAAGCATGTGGACTCTTTTTCTTGCACGCTCACCATTCTGCCGTAAAATAGTATTATTTTGATCATGTTTGCTTGGAAGATGAATCTAACCTGAAGTGCTGGCTTTTTCACAATTTTCAGTCGTCATTATTAGAATGTTTCTTCATTTGTAAGACAATCTAGACTTTAATGCGGGGGGGAAACTAAATAAAATTAACTAATTAATACCAAATTAAATTAAATTCAGAGAATACAGCGAAGGAGATAAACAGTTCATAATGTAAATCTTATGGCATGGGCATAGATAGAGGCAGCAGGTGAATTCTGAAGTGTACAAGGTTATTCTCTCTGCTCAGATTTATACAACCAAGACTGCAAAAGTGATCCAACAGTGCTTCATATGTGC